TAGGTTCCTCCAACAAACACGTTCATGCCGCAGCAGCTCAGCCGCTGCACAGGAAGGTTACAGGATGCGACCCGGGCTGAGAAAACAATCTTATACTTTGACGCAGTTAACGATAAGAATATATGAATACTAACATCTCTTTTGCGTAAACTACAGGGAAACTGCGTAGCCTAGTTTTTGTTGTGCATGAGAACAGCGGATGGCACACCGCTCCAGTAGGAAAACAAGCACGGGAGAATAAGTTATATAAGTTTTGTGAAGTGTATCACCTGTCGTCCTTCTTACCTTTCTCACTCTCTTCTTTGTTATTGACTCAACTGCGAACACTTGATCTCCTATGGATGACAGCTCCATCGCCGCGCGCTGCTCCACACGCTCCAAACAGGACGCAAACTGTGTCTCTGCTGCTTCTGTCGAAGTGCAGAAGTAAAAAAAAAAAAAAAAAGAAAGAAGAAAAAAGGCAAAGAGGAGGGAAAACACCGTTGAAAGTGTCACGGCCGCCGCTCGCTCCCGGTGTGGACAGTAGTTTTGAGCGCTGAGTCTCTGCGCTTCCCTCACAACCAAACTCCTGCTCGCCTGCCTGCCTGCCTGCCTCCCTCACTTTTTAAAATCTGCGACACATCAACACTGGACAACGCGCTGCTTTAAGTCGGGCGCGCCCCCTTTCCATTGCGTAGGACCGAGCCCCCAATGTGCGTGCCCGCGCCCGCAAGGCCGCGCACGCAAATTAGAGCACAGTGCAGAAGAGGGTAAGAGGAGGAGGGAGGATGGAGGGAGGAGGGAGGAGGGGTCAAAACGACAAGGTTATTATGAAACTAAAGTTTGGGAAAGGGAAGAAAATACTGCTGTATTCGGTGTGACTAATGCTTCTAAATCAAAACTATTCTTCTACTTATATCAAAAACAATTAGGTTATAACTTAATCATTTTTATTTTGGGCTAAACTTTACCTTTCTTTTTAATAAGATCTGAAGCAACATGAATTATTATTTTTTTTATTATTTAATTGTATTTGTAAAACTTTACCATGGTCAATTCATGGTGTTGAAAATTTGCTTATTCGCATTCATTCGAATTAGATGAGAAGATCAATATTATTCTTGCCTGTACAATAAAGTGACCAGATATCTGAAATGAAAGCAGCATCCAACGTTTTTACCCATGAAATAAAATAAAGGGACAGTCCCAGTTTCATGTATTTTTACCATGTTGTATTGTAATGAACTATTGTGAAGACCGGCTGATAAAATGACGACTCCCTACCTTTGAAGCAATTGTGAAGTTTGTTTTTGTTAGTTTACTGTCTGGTTATGAACTCATAACCAATGAGTGAGCCAGCTAACCTTTTCTCTGCCTAAAGACAACAACAACAAAAAAGAAAAATCTGATTGGATAACTCTATTTTGATGGTTTTAGCTTCACTTCTGAAGCTGCTATAGCTAGCAGACAGCCCCCCCTGTTGGCCAAAACAAGATCATTGCTAGAAGTCTGTTTTGAATTACAATTGTTTAAAAACGAGGACATTTGTAGGGACATCTGTTCACCCGGCTGTACAGTAAATAAAAAACGGGAGACTGCAGCATATTAGCTTAACTCAGCATGAAGAATAAAACCCGGGGGAAACAACTAGCCTGGGTCTGACCAAAAGTGATAAAATTTGCCTTTAAAGTTCAGTAATCGACACATCATATCTTATTTAAAAATGACATCTGACTATTCATGAAGTTAGGGTTAAATCTCAAATTGTGTTACCTTAAAACACTGAACTCCAGCTTGAGTGTGAAACAGAATGTGAACTGATGTATTTTTATGTAACAGTAGTAAAAAGGCAGGAAAGATCAGAAGCTGCAATGGAAATGAAAGCCTTGCTTCACTCTCTGGTGGAAATGTCCACCCCTCCAGCCGTGTTTGATCCAAATATGGAACCAAGCAGCGAAACACTCGCTGAAAGTCTTAATTTTACATCCTGAATGCTAAGCAACCTAGCTGCATTGAGGAGAGCTGGAAATAACGTTGAGTACTACACAGATAAAGATCTCAGTGATGATAATGACTGCTGAAATGTTGCAGCCAACATTTATTTTTTTACAGGGGACTGATTCTTAAAACCTTTGTTCAGTGTGTGTGTGTGTGTGTGTGTGTGTGTGATCGCAGCCACTGATCACACACACTTATCTAACTTTGTACCTGAACATCCACACGTCCAGCTCCAAGGTAGGAACAGCTCACAAAGGCAAAGTGACTACTGTGGAAAAAAGGCCTGGAGCCAGATTCCTATTATCTTTCACTGAGGCTGAAGTGGATCAGTTTACAGCAAAACTCTCAGTAACCACACACACACACACACACACACGCACACACACACACACACGCACGCACACACGCGCGCAAACACACACACACACACACACACACACACGCGGTCTACGGTCCACGATCCCTGCACCTGGAACACTTGCATCACTTATGGGCATTGGGTGTCATAGCAACTGTTTCTACAGCGACTGGTGAAAAGCTGGATGATGATGATGATGATGATGATGAGATGGAAGAAAAGTTGATGAACAGTTCAGGGCTGAAGAGTGACCCACACCAACTGACCTGTGACCTTTGACCTACCAGTTATATAAACAGCTCAAGCAGAAACTCCAATAATAATCCAATGATATAGTCTTACTATTACTATCACAAAATACCAAGAAAACCAGAAATATCACAATTATTTAATATTATTAATGTGAGAAGTTGCATTTTTTTTTGCATGTTTGCATCTCTTAAAGGGGAACCAGTGATTCTGCATCCACAAAGTTAAAGCGGAGCTGGTGCGGTTTTCACCGTGTGTGTGTGTGTGTGTGAGTGAGACCAGCCGTTTCTGTAACTTTCCGAAAACTTTCTGAAAACTTTCCGCACTGACACTCGCCTCATGCCATGACTGGCAGCTGCGCTGTGTGGAGGTGAGATCGGAGCAGGGATTGAACTTTTCTCCACAGCTCAATTTAACTCATTCCTGGTGCAACTATTATTAACAATCTCCATCACTTTTCTTGTAAACAACTGAGTTCACCACTTGGAATCATCTTCCAGGGCAGATGCGCTTTTATCCTCATATTTAAACACAGTTGATTTCTAACTCGGTCATACAAATGAGTTCTGATCAAACACACCCTTGTCCCTTGCACAGCCAATCGGCAAAAACAAGAAATACTGCATTTCCCACAACTGCCTGGTAAGCACCCATGTCTTTCAACCCCCCCCCCCCCCCCCCAACTCTACTTTGTAATGCAGACAGATTGTTATACAGACAAATCAAAGATAACCCTGATTACATCACTATGACGTCACTGGGGTAATTTCTCTCAAACTTTTGACACCCCCCTGGAGATAAAGAAAGTCTCCTACAGCTGATCTCATGTAAGATAAGTAGAACAAACGGCTACTTTCAGTTTCTGCTGTAATAATCTGATGCTGTGAGACTTTACAGATCTTACTGTGTTTTCATGTCCTAATATATCTAGTCCGTCCGGATGTGAGCTGCACAGTGAACGCGCACGATGATGTTCTTTACAGCTGGATATTTCTCTCATTGTGTTCTACAGTGTTTTTTTTTTTTCCTTGTCCTTCATGCTGTTCCTGTACTGAGCCTGCAGGGACGGAGCATTCCTGGTCTTAAAAATGTAATACGGGATGAAGGCAGCGCTTTTCCCGTAAAGGAGGAGGTTATTGCTGCGATTCTGAAAAGAAAACCCGGCGATCACATGACTCGTTATCTGCCCGGATACTACTGTAGAGAGGAGTTGTGGAGCTGAGGATGGAGCGGCACACAGCAGGACGGATCACAGCGCTCACTCCCACCCACATGTTATGACTCACGTATGACTCACCAAACGTGCCAGTAAGAAGATCAGCGCTACTTCACTGGAATATCAACAGACTGAAAAAAAAACACATTAGGGTAACTTACAGCCTCATACCGGGAAACCATACGTTTCTGGTTTATTTCCCCTTTGTCCCGGCCCTTTATCCCGAGGCGCCTCCACTTCACTGAGCCCGCCCGTCCTCACAGGCCAGAGGGAAACAGGGGAAAAAGAAAACTGTTGAAAAAGAAAAAAAAAAAGAAGAAAAAAACAACAAAAGAATAAATAATAAAAGAAAAATTAAATGATAAAAGTAAGTAAATAAATAGATTAAAATCCAGCTGTGAAACCACCTACTTTATCTGAGAGGAGGCGTATTAACTGATAACATTTACAATCACTAGTCAGCATCAGCCTGATTAACATTCAGCATCTGATACTGGTTCGACATTAGTGTGTATTTCTGCAGTGAACACAGTGGTGGAAAGTGCATTACTAAAGCACTGAGGTACTTGTACTACTGCACTGCATTTCTAAGGAAAGTGTAGTACTTTTCACTCCACTACATTTATGTGACTGTGGCTTCAGCAACCAAAATCCAATAATGTAATGTGTCATCATACAACATTCGCAGGGGGCATTTTACTGCACAATGAGCACTTCTACCAGAGGTGGGAGCGAGTCTCGAGTCCAAAGTTACTGTGGTGAGAATCAAGCAAGTACATTTGGTAGTTTTAATATATTTCTTTCATGATGCCTTGAAACTGTGAATGCAGGACTTTTACTTGTGTATTTTATTTTATAATACAGTGACTTTCATCGCTGGTCAGGACAGAAAATATAATATAATACTGTATAAGCACTTCTTGCTCCACTTGGCTGAACAGTTAATAACAGTAAAAAAAAGTTATTTGGAATTTGAATATTTTTAGAAAATGCAATAGGAATGAGATTTTTTATATTTGCTCATTATGCTTATTGTGCACAGCAGCAACAAAGATGTTCATAGAACTGAAAGTGGAAGATAAAAAACAAAACCAAAAGCAGTGCAACCAACACAAAAACAATAAACCAGCTCATCATACCAAAACCAAAAGTCGTAACATCACACTCTGTGAAGACTGTAGAGATATGAACCACGGAAAGTAACTTCACATTAAAGTTTATTATCATACATAAATATTCTGAAAATAATGTTGATGCTGACAGTTCCTCAGACCAACAACCAGTTTCCTTTTTCTTTACATCGTCAGTGTAAAAACGTATTTTAACGTTTCTTCCAACACATTTAGAAAGACTTAGTTAAAGATACTGATGATGAAAATTATGGAAAACTAAAGTCAACATATTAATACGTACTATTAATTATTAATAAACTGTGTGCAAATATGTTCTTTAAAATACACATGTATTCGTCAAAGACAGCACTGTCACCTTTTCTCCAGCTGATCTCAGTCAAGCAGTCAGGACTGTGAATATAGAGCAACAACAGACGGGAGAATAAATTTGATCCAAGGCCAGCAGAACAAATTTCCCATTAACCATTGAGCACTTTCACTTTACTGCAGTTATAAAGACCCACAAGTTTTAAACTTGTTCGGAGCTTTTTCCTCAGGCGGCAAAAGAGAAGAGTTTTAAACAACCAGAGTTCAAAGCGTTTACAATGCGTCTGTTTGTGAACGTTGCACTGAGATTTAAAGGAAAAGTTTGATATTTTGTCAGATTACAGATTAAAAATGAGAGCTATAACATGTCAGTGAGGTTTAGATGTATTTTGTTACCTCCGCACATAGCCAGGCTAGCTGTTTCCTGCCTTCTCCAGTCTTTATAGAAACCTAAACTAAATGACTGCTGACTGTAGCTTCATATTTACTGTATAGGCATGAGACTGATTCTCGGCAAGGAAGTTTACGAGGAGTCTTTAAAGGAAACTGGCTGCCATCTGGCAGCAAATAACAGGCACAAAATGGTCGGTTCGATCCTGGAAAATTACCCACAACTTTTCTACCAGGGGCCGGAAACGAGCCATCCATCTTGAACTAGCGCGGTGCAGATCTGAGGAGACCTGAGAAATCACAGCTGAATGACAACAGAAAGAGAAGCACTAGTTTCTACTGACCTGGGACACAAAATGTCTTTGACTCTTTAAAAGATTGACCAATGTGAGGCACAACCCAGACTGAGAAATACAATTTTTGATTTTGTCTGGAGCTGTAGTTATTACATGACTTTGTTCTTGTTCTCAAAACTTTTCTTGTCCTCCGCCTCTGTTATTAAATACAAGGTGTAGAAGATGAGGTCCTCCCCGTGTGAAGAGGCACTTACAATGTGAGTTGCAAAATATTCGAAAAATAAAATCTGACTCCACATTGTTGGGACTTCAACACGCCTTCAGAGCAGCTTCACCGTCATTGCCTTTACCCAGCGACAGCGGTCACCGCTGGGGACAGGTGACTCGCGTGTGCCCCGGCATGTGGCAGATGCCGCAGGTGCGGGGTTTCTTAGCAGCAGGAGGTTTGTTGGTGATGGCATCTCCTATTGTATTCCTCGCCCTCTTCCCTCCGTCTCCACTTCCACTGAATCCACCACCAAAACCACCTGACACGAGGGAGCAGAGGTCAAACACAGCGTGAGATGGTTAGAGGTCACTGCATGAAGAGCACAAAACATTTCTGTGTGCGGCAGGACTGACAGCAGCGAGTCTGCCTGATGAGCGGATGCCTCAAGGTCTCAGTGGGAGTGTTTGTGAGTCGTGACAGCTTTTCTTTATCATTAAATAAGTACGTAGGTGAGGAGGAACATTCTCTGTTGTCTGATCTGAGTGTACATCTTTTTTTCTGCTTGCATGCTTGTATTAAAACATTTCAAATAATTTTATAAAGCACACAGAGAGAGTTCATGGGGGAAATGATTTGACAGGCAGATTATTGTAGTAAGACACTGAACTGTGCTGCAAATGTCTGTCTATAATGTGTTGTTTATGTTAATGTATCAATGGCTGCTCTTCCCTTTAATGCATCCTTGTAATTTAAAGTGATTTTCAGAGAAAAGTTTAATTATTTGAATTAAGTAAAAGAAACCACAACCTAATCTGGTCCTAAAACACAGATTCAGAGTCAGGAATCAAACCCATCACACAGTAACAGTGTCCACGCTTTGATCTTTGAGCGGTGACTCTACTCCTTTATGCAACCAAGGTGTCTGAGTGATTTATTGTTGAGACGAAGTAGCCCGTTTTTACCCACATGCAGCTGTACCTGAACACTAACATCAGCATGCTAACATGCTCACAGTGTCGATGCTAACATGCTGATGTTTAGCACGTAATAAGGTTTAGCATGTTCCCCATCTTAGTTTCTGATTATAATCCAAAGTACTGGACACATTCCAACTGTTGTTGGGACCAAAATGGCAGAAAGACTCACTGACTTTGCCATTGATTAGTGTGTGTGTGTGTGTGTGTGTGTGTGTGTGTGTGTGTGTGTGTGTGTGTGTGTGTTTCAGCTTTGAACAGTTGCAGTGGTTGGATTAAAGGTTAAAGGTTGGGGTTAGGTAAAGACAATTGTGTGTGTTTCTGTTTGTGCGTCTACACGTCGTTCTGTGGTTGTGAGGCCGAATTTTGTTTTTAAACTCGGGCTGAACAAAATACAAAAAAAAAAAATCATACTGCGATTACTTTAACATAAGTCCCAACCCTCGCTGTCATGAGGACATGTTGTTGTCCTCACAACTTCAAAGGGCTTGGTTTTAGGGTTATAATTAGGTTTAGGTTAAGTAGAGGGTTAGGCGTATACGTGTGTGAGTGTGTGTGTGTGTGTGTGTGTGTGTGTGAGCCTTGCCTGGAGGAGGTACGTTCTCATCAGCCCATTGGAAGAAGCTGCACTGCTGCTCTCTCGGCTTCCCGCAGGTGTGAAACATCCGGCCCTTGTTTGGCCCGTCCTTCTGCACTGTGCGCGTCACTGCCGCCTCGTTACAGTTACACATTATCTCGTGTGCTCCAGCTCCTCCGTCCTGCCCCCTGCCTCCGTCGAATGTGTTCCTGAACCCCAGCGAGGGCCTCGGAGGCTGGGAGGTCCTCGGTGCAGGCAGCGGACGCGGAGGCCCCAGACTCTGTGGCGCCCCCTGTTGGTTCGGCTGGTCGGCCCACAGAAAGAAGTTGCAGCTCCCGGCGTTGCACTTGTAAAACTGACGCCCTTGGTTGGGACCGTCTTTGCGTACAGTGAGGAGAAGTGCGTCCTGACCACAGTTGCACACGATGGCGTCGCCGTTTGGGTCTGCACCGCTCCCGCCGGCGCCCAGCGGGGGTCCAGGCTGAGGGGTCCAGGAGGGGACAGGAGGAAGGGGAGGTCGAGGATTGGAGTGTGGGGCTCTGGGTGGCTCTGCTCTGGGGGGCCTTGGACCTGGTGGCCAAGGATCATCTCCTCTTCCTCCTCCCCCTCCTCCTCCGCCACCTCCTCCTCCCCCTCCTCCTCCGCCACCTCCTCCACCTGCTCTGAGGTATTTCAGGTCCAGCACCTCTCTGAGCGTCTCGTCACATCCACCAATGCAGCCAACAAATTCCAAAGGCATCATGGGAGGGACGCTGCCCCTGCGGAACTTGAACTTCAACCTGAAGGACGTAGGACAAACGGGAGGCGGCTGTTAACCCTGAAAAACTCTAATTATCATCCGGTAAAATGTAAAGTAACTTATTATTCATCCAGAAATGTAATGTGCATTAACTTACTTTGAGTTTTTATGTCCCTTAGACAAACTCATTTAACTCAGTGTGTGCAAATGGTCCTTGTTTGATGGAGCTGAACCGATATTTCATTTCACACAAATCAGAAACAAAAATAGAATACAAGTATAATAACAGTAATGAGTGAAAATGGGGCACCCCAATAAGACTCATAAACTTGTCACTGCATGTACAAAATAGAATTTCAGCCACAAAATACCTAAATCCTAAAACATCTATCTCATGTCTATATATCGATTTAATAGGCAAGATACACAATAAAAAAATAACAGCAACATATTTTAGTAACGACGGCTGCTTCAAGTTCTTTTTAAAAGCAGAAAGAGATAGTGACATTTTTAGAGGGTCATCAAGCTCGTTCACACCCGTGGACCTCTGCACACCACACTACAACTTTGTGCATTTAAGTTTACGTTTCTTTCCCTCTGTAAGATGTTTTTTTTTCTGGTCTCACAATTACACATTAAAACAGGTGTAAATGAACCGAGCTCTGTGACGTCAGGAGTAAGATCATCTACCAACACAGCTGGAGCAGTTGCTGTAACTTTGTGTGTGTGTGTGTATATACCATCATTAAAAAACACAGGAACAACATGCATGTAGGACAACATTTGGGATGATATAGCACGTTGCCATGGTGACCAGCGAGATGGATGCAGTAAGCAACAGTTTGTTACAGCACTTACTGAAATATGATTTTAAAAAGACAGTGATATTGTTTTTAGAGTAAGTGCTGTTAAGTTCAACTTTGAGCTCTGCGCCAGACTGGTTGCCACGGTAACGGATGCTGGTGTGGAGCACTTTGGCTCGCTGCGCTGCGAGCCTGCCCTATATTTGGACTGAGCTGAGGCACGTGTTCAAGGGGTTAACGCCCACTTGCGTAAACAAGGATTTTGACAAGTTTTTTCTTGTGCTGATGAAGCAGCTGAGAGCTTCATCTGTGCTCCCACATGCACTTAATCAATAATCTAACAATAATCTGTGTGTTCACTGAACTGAGCGTTGGAAAAGAATATGCTTTCAAAGTTCATTATGTGGCGTTACCGTGGGGCTGAACTGTGCAGCGAGGCAGAGATATGGAACCAAAGACTGAAGGATCTCTGATCATCAGCAACAGAAAAAGGAGCCTCTGTTGTAAATCAGTGTAATATGTAAATGTCCTGGTTGTGTTTATATAATGTAATACATCATTACTCTACTGTCTGCCTGGTTATTTGCTCAAAGTAGTATTTTTGTAATTTCATACAGCTGGGTGACTCACAAGAGACAGATCAAAGAAGACTAAGGGGGCGTTCACACACACAGATTCCAAAAGATGTGAAAGCGCTGGCTGCTATTCGTCGTCAATGAGACCTGCGCTGCACAGCTGCAGCACAGGGGGAAAAGTTGAGAAAGTCTCAACTTGAATCATCATTAATCATTAATTCCCAGGGAGGAACTTAATAACAGCTCTCACTACAACCAACAATTTATTTAATTTTTCTGAACCAACTAGTTTCGTTGACACCTCCGCCGAGGCCGAGGGAAATGTCATCAGCTTTGCAGGGATTCGGTCACAAACCGGAGTATTTGAGAAATTTAAATTTTTATCCTGATGATGGTGCTGGATGAAAAATTAAAAGATCACCAAAGTTATGAGGGCAACAGGAAATTTTCTTGACAACCCATCCAGCAGCTGTTGAGATACTTCAGTCTGGACCGACTAACAGACAACTATCGCTGGAGTGTTCAGCTGGTCTGACATAAAGTAAATACTTACATGTGAACGGGGCGCGGCTGACAGGTGGGACAAATGCTGTCATCTCTGCTGACCTCCAGCACTGTGTCAGGGAACCACACTGCTGTCTTACAGGCTGGGAAACCCACACAGGACAGGAACTTACTGCAGGGGGGGACACAGGAATATTTACAACAAATATTCCTCTCCAAAGCCGGCTGTATTTTGTTAGACCACCTTTCAGATTCCCTTTGGATTCAGATCATTTCAGTTCAATATAACAATCAGCTTAAAAAGACCATGTTCTGACAATATGTATTCAGGACCTGGTATGAAAACTACACCTTGTTGGTGTGTTTTTATCTACGAGCTGTGAAAACATGGATCTCTAAGAATAATAGGAGAGTTAAAAAATGAAAATGAGTAAAAGAGTTTGAATTTAATAGATTATAATTAAGAGCGAGCTGTTGTAGCAGCACCAAAAATAAACTGCATTACTATGCGATGACTTATCTCTCAGTTAGTCTCTGCCAAATTAGTTTTATTGCACGCTATCAAGGTAGAAATGCAAATTAATAACTAATGAGCCGCTTTGGAAAGTGTGCAGGTGAATTGTAGTTAATCGGCAAGTTGTGACATTTGAAATAAAGCATCTTGTGGGGGATGAGGAGTTTTAAAGATTAGTTTTAAAGTGCTGAACGAACAAACAGCATCTATACACTCGACACGATATCATAAATAAATCAAGCTTGTATCAGTAACACAGTTGTCCCTGTGTCTCGTCTCGACCTGTTTCCCTCCCTCTTCTTCTTCAGCACCATGTCCCGACCGCAGTTAGGGCACTTCCTGACGGGCAGCGGGATCTCCATGTCCCGCTGCTCCGCTTCAGGGATCTCCTGAGCCGCACCCAGATACGGCGACAGGGCTTCGTCTAACCTGAGGCGAGAACAGAGAGTGACGTCTTAACATTTAATAATAATAATAACGTGACAGGATTCTGTTCGTTTGTGTGCAGGCGGCGCATCAGGAATACACAGATTTACTGCGAGATAAAGAGCTACTGACTTCTTTGCCTTCCTGACAGACTCGATGAAGACGGTCTTGTATTTCTGGATGTGGTGCCGCAGCACGCTCCGTTTGTCCTTCCTGCCCTCCGACACCAGCTTGAGATCTGCCTCCAACTCAGCACGCAGGTCTGGTTTGGACATCTCATAGCCCATGGAGTTGTAACCTAAACAAACAAACACACATACACACTTATAAAGCTGATTTTTTTTTATTTTTTTAAATCTGGCTTTTAATTGAATTTCATTTTTTTATCTTTCTATTTATTTATATATTTTATATTTTAAGCTGTTTTACTGGTATTTCCTTTTATTCTATGATTATTTTCTGGACTGTTTTCCTTTAATACCCTACTTTAATCTCTGGTTATTTATTCTACTTTTATTTCTGGTTTTATTCTCTTCCAAACATCTCCTCTCTTTTAGCATTTTATTATTTTATCTTTACTATTTGGTCTATCTTACCTTTCATTTATGGTTTTACTCACTGCAACACATGTCCTCTGTTTTAATATTTTATTATTTTCTCTTTATTACTTTGTTTTTATCTTTGCTTTCCAGTCTTCAGTGTTTCCTCAGTTCCTGTTACTGTTGTCTTTTTTTTTAAGTAGTGTTTTTATCCCTTAGTGCTCTGTGTGTTCATGGGAGTTACTGTGTCTTTGTGTGTGTGTGTGTGTACATACCCTCCACCAGCCCCATGCCGAGCTCTCCAGGGAGAAACCTCTGATCAGCTGTCAGGCCCACATACATGCGACTCTTAATAGTCTCGATGTGCTCTGCATGGGTTGCATCTGTGCCTGTAAAACACACAGTTCAAACAATAGAGTTTTCACTAGACACAAAACAAATGAAGTCTACGTTCATTAAGTTGTTACTTTAAAATCAGAAGCTTTTTTCAATGTGTGCACATGAGAGAAAATCCAGGTGGACATAAACTGTCCAAACTGGCATATATCCACAGATCAGTGGGTGTGCTGTGAGATAATAGAAATTCACCAAGACAATTTTCTGTTAGTAATTCCTGTTGTATTAGGCTACTGTTGCTATCTTATTTACTTCTCTATATATATTGAAAATAAATATATTATCAACTCTGACAAAAGATCTGGTCGCTAACATCCACTAAGCTTCATGGAAATAAGACTAAATAAAATAACCTACTAGTTTAGCACTGCACTTCTACACCACTGTCAGATTCAGACTTTACTCAACGCATTCTTCTCCCTTGTCAAAACCTGGTGCCTACATTACCCACAATGCAACGTGACCACCGGCAGTTTGGTTGGAGATTGGGGTGTGTTATGACAGTTAAGCAGCTAAGCAACAAGCCTCAAGCAGAGATGAGAGGTGGGCTTCAGAGGTCTGGTAAACTCTTTTCTTTACAACTGCACACCCACAGTTTTCTGCTCCAACTGATGTTGTTTATCAGACTTTGCACAGCTCCCTCTGGAGCCACTAAAGGCTTTAACACTTTCCAAATAAGAAGTAGTTCTCCCAAACACCTGTGAACAGACTCTCGTGTATAAAACTGGTGGAATTCATGGGCGTTATATTAGAAAAGTGTAGATTTTGGGGCTTGATTTCATATTTTGCACATTCACAAATTCAGAAGTTTGTGGGATTTACCAATATTTTCTTCTCTCTGACGTGTTCATAATTAAGTGTTTGTGAGTCTGTGAGTAGCTGGGACCACACATACTGCCTCTGCTTGTCTGTGTGTGTGTGTGTGTGTGTGTGTGTGTGTGCGCTCTACCAATGCCGTGCTTCTCCATCAGCGAAATGAGGTCGGCTTCGGTGAGCAGCTGCGGAGGACTCGTCTGTCCGTCCACCATCTCAATAGCAGAGGGCTGGAACTGGGAGCCCTGCTCGTACACTGGAATCACCTACAACAGGTAAAGCGGACGTACTAAGATATATCACACACAAACACCAAGAGCCAGGAATCAGCTGGAACAACAACAACACACTACTGTAACATCCACCCCCCTTCAACAAAAACACACACACCCTACCTTGGCGCTCCACCTGTCGTACGGGTAAACATCCAGGTAGTTCCTTGCAATGATCATGAGTCCCGAGGTGGAGAACATCTCCTGGGCTATGTCTATATCCACCACTGTCTCGTGCCCTAAAGCATCCTGGGATACACAAGCCAGGAAGTGCCGGACAATGAACTCATACACACGTCCTTCGTTGCCCTGGACAGAGACGAAACAGAGAATCGTTACGTCAGAGTCAGTGTTTGTTCCCGTGTGTGTGTGTGTGTGTGTGTGTGTGTATACACTACATTGGTGACTTTATCTCTGTAACCTTTGCTGCAGACGAGTGTGAAACCTTGAGCCAATTGTTTCGATCATACTGTTGAAAAACAATACAAGGACTAGTTGGGCACAGAAACCGCCTACTAATGAACAGCAGCGGGTATAATTTATTAATTATGAATCAAGATGGAACTAGGATCATCGCCTCATGGTTGTATCCCTCCGCCACTCGGACTAGTTTCAGGTTACATCCCTGTTTATCCAGAGTCGTATAAAATATTAACCATTTTTTTTTAAATTTCCCCATAACTGCTGTGGGAAGTCTTGAGTAATGGCTAAAAAATATTTTGAGGTCACCGTGACCTCTGACCCCCAATATCTAATCAGTTCGTCCTTGAGTCCAAGAGAACATTAGTGCCATATGAAGAAGTTCCTTCAAGGCATTATGGAGATATTGCATTCACAAGACCACCGTGACCTTGACCTTTGACCTTTAGCCACCAAGTTTTAATCAGTTCATCCTTGAGTCCTAGTGAATGTTTGTGCAAAATTTGAAGAAGTTCCTTCAAGGCGTTACTGAGATATCGTGTACACCAGACTGGGACGGACAACCTGAAAACAACATGGCTGCTGCTCAGACTGTCGACGGCACAGAGACATAAAAAACAAAAAAAGTGAATGAATTATGAACAAACTGAGCTCTGCTTTCTGTGAACGTACCTGCAGCGTATTGGTGTACTTGGTGGGGTGTATGGGGGGATGGGCTTGGTCAGATTTCTTGCCCTGCCGTGGGTTGGGACCCCCGGGCTGCTCGAGCACCCGCTGGGCGAACGTCCCCCAGACCGGACTTTGAGTCTGCTGCTCCACCAGGGGGCCGAGAGGCAGGTTTGTGGGAAAAATGTTGGTTTCTGTGCGGGGGTAGCTTATAAACCTGAGAAGGGGGGGGACACGACACACAGTCACAAGTAATCTTTGCACAAAGAAACTAAGGTGGAACACTCTGGAAATATGACATCACTGGTAAACTCCTCTATTAAACGCCTGAACTGCCAGATGGCGCCTTCTCGTGTGCAAAAATAGGACCGGCTTTGAGGTGGTTTAACAACCTGCTAAACAAAAAATACATTTGACCGTTTCACTGACACCACAAAGCCTCTAAATAAAAGTGGCTTCAGGCCAGCGTTCGGACTGAAACAAGTTCAAACGAAAGACAGGACATTTAGCATATGGTCGGACCAAGACAACACGTTGCCGTTTGGACGGCAGTATGTGCGTACATTACCCAAAATGCTGCTTGCTCCAAAACTCACACACTCACCCTTGGGTGTAGAGTTTTTCTGCAATTTTCATGGTCTCTTTGGCGCTTATTCTCAGCTTCCGAGATGCCAGTTTCTCCATTTCCTGTTGGTCAGATAAAGGTAGATGATTGCTCATGAGGGGAGGGGGGGGGGGCTGTTTCCTGTCATGCTAGAAAACAGCTACATGCACTTTATACCATAAACACGTGTGTTTTAATACGCAGCATATGTATGTGTGTGGCTGTTTGACTTCATGTTCTTACCACAGTGTCCAAAGGCAGCGGTCTCCACTTGCTCTTGGGTTTGCTGGTTACTGAGGTGACTGTTGCTATGGGATCCTGGAAATGAGTAAACGTTATTCTTGTGTGTAGTTCTTTTTTCTTTTTTTTTTAACATGTGGCTTTTAGCCCATTTTATTCAGGCAGGTTGGAAACACATTTGAATTTAAATTTGCTGCTGAGTCCTCGTGAGGTAACAGCTGCAGGTGGAGGAGAGGTTACACGTGTGGATGCAACACACACACACACACACACACACACACACACACACACACACACACACACACACACACACACACACAGTTGCTATGAGTCCACACATCTTTTCTAGGTGCACAGCATCAACAATCTGTGTTTTTCCATCGATATTAAATCAGTAAATGAATTGTGCGATCAGGATAACCACATCAATATGTTGTCGAGATGAATGCCCCCCCCCCCTCTCGCCTCGCTGGTGCTGTGTTACAGTATGAAGACATTTTGTACCTGTTATGCAAGAGCAAAAGTTAGACCAAGTTTTTTTTCCTTTAAGATTTCTTTTTTTTTTTTGCCATTTTACCTTTATTTCATTGCAAATAAAGGAAACACAGGGATGTTGCAGTTAAATGGTTTTATCTTTTAACCACGAGGTCAGTGGACACCCTCGGCTTCCAGAACAAATTTTCTTTTTTTTTCTTTTTGGGTGTATGTGTGTGTGTGTGTGGGACCAATAGTTAAGAATTTTCAACTAATCTAATTAAAGCAGTGAAAGAAAGGTACAGTAGCTCCCTGCAGTCCTTTGTTTCCTGATGATGGACCTTTCACTTCCTATAGATCAACATCGGTGCGCACAGACCTTAATCCATCAAGTGCAGGATTTCAGTGGTAACAGGAAATGTTAAATTAACACATGTGGGCACGTGGATGACACAATTCACATTCCTGCTGACGGTTTCACACTGTTCCACTGATCTAGAAGAAGAATTCTGCCAGAAAAGAAACCTGAATGCAAATAATGTAGGTTTTAAAATGTTTAAGAACAAAAAAAAAAAGAAAAAAAAAGGCACGTGGAACCTTTAAAGCTCCATAAACGATATTTTGGTTTTGGGGTGACAAAGCTCAGCAGACTAAAGAGGAACTGCAGACCTGGATGATGATCTCTGTGGGTGTCTCTCTCAAAAACACCCCTTTCATATTATACATTATACTGGTAATATAAAAGAAGTTCATTACTGCAGCTTTACTGAAGAATTTAGTGACTTCTTTACTGGATCCGTCACAATCATGTCTTTTTTTAAATATTAGGAAGGACTGTAATTTTCACAAAAAAATAAATACACAGTGATGCATGTAATACAATAATATTGATGTGTCTCATCATCATTAGAGCTTTTTTCTCAGTAAGTTATTAGTGAAAAAAGGAGAGAAGTAAATAACTGAACACAAATACATAAATAACTGAGTACAGGGACAAACAGTGTCTGTGTTTGTCTGACCAGAGTTTGATCTTGAAAGTCACATCTTGCTCCGTGGGAAACATGATAATTACACGCTCGTTAGCTGTGAGCATCTTGGCAAACACTTAGTGTTAATGTTTTTCTATAACAGTCACGGGTTCAGACGACATCTCCATCCTGCCACCAGCAACTGAGACCAAACGGAACAACTAAATGTACCGACAACAAACAACCTCAAAATATAATGATCATTATAAATCATCGTATCACCATCGTAAATACAGAAGGTGATAAAGAGTTATCATCAGGCGTCATTACAGTCTGATAACAACTGTTGTACATACAATATAACAATAACTGAGTGTGTGTGTATACTCTGTATCTGACCTGATGTGTTATCCAACGTTTTTTTTAATGGTTTACTTTACTGTATATGGTTAGGATCATACATTTTATTCTAAAATATTTTTTTAATGTTTTCAGCTTTTGACTCTGGACTTGTGACAGTCAACAGTAAGGGCTTTCCTCTCGTGTGTAAACAGCTCAGCAATGTTTAAACTTTCCACTGAAGCGTTACAAGAAAGAGCCGACATCAGCTGACCTATAAAGCTCATACAGCACAGAAAAGGAAACATTTCATGAGAGCATGTGACAATGAAAACAAACAGGCACATACCTCCATGCAGATCTGGTAGAGCACCAGGCAAGCTGTGTGGTTGAAGAGACGGTTTCTTTTCCAGCCGAACTCTACAGTGTCCTCCTCGACCTCGTGGAGCACTGACGCAAAGAAACAGCAGGCTATCGTTTTAAAACCTGAATACTCGCGTCTGCATTGGATTTGTGTGTGTGTGTATGGATGAATTTACACCTTTGATCTTGTAGAAAGTCTCAGGTATGAAAGCCTGGATGGCTTTGAAGCGCTCCACAACGAAGCCCAGAGTGGGAAACTGACAGCTGCCGTATGAAATCAGCTGATTGGCCAGAGACTCTGGAAAGATCTTCTGCAGGCGAAGCGTCTGGAACCGAGTGAAGGATGCACCTGCAGAAGACGAGCACAGGAGAGAGGCCACTTACATATTAAGAACCAAAAGAAACTTTTTTTTTTTGATATACAATGTTGTATCGTGGGTAAAGTGACATTTAACCAAGGTTGTCATACAGAGTCAAAACAGTGACTGTGCCCTATGAACCATTATCTCTTGAGCCATCATATAATCCTGAAAGAATCTTTTTCACGTCCACCAGTGTGTTGCCTTGTATTATTCAGTACAGTGTTAGAGTGCTACCTCACCTATCCGCAGGTCCAGCTCCTGACGGACATCCACAGCATCACTGACGTTGGCATCCGGCTCCATTAGAGTCTCACAAGCTCTCCGGATGGAGTTGGGGGTTATCTCAGAAAACTTTGCCCGAAAGACCTGTATGTTGGGCTTAACTAAAAACACACACACACACACAATTAGCAGGAGTTATTTATGTACCTGCTAATCTCTGAGATGCAGACACAACAAAAAACAACACACACATATTATTAACATCGTACCTGCTTTGCAGACATCAATAACTTCAAAGCCAATGTTTTCTCCCTCTCTGTCACAATCAGTCCAGATGACTAAGGCCTGGCACTGCCTCACCTCTTTCTCTAGTGTCCGCTACAGAGACAGAGAGAGACGGAGAAAGGGAAGAAATGTGGAGAGTTAAGGAGTCAATAAAACCTTTCAATTCTCATTATTCTGTCTGGGAGAGAGATGAAAAGGCAATGAATAAAAATAAAGAGTGTGTCTTGGTCAATTGTTAAAAGTTATCACTACTAATAACATTCAAACATCATAATCACCCACACAAAGAGAGACAGATCCCACAGGTTTGTTTAAATAGAGAGTAAGGATTTCTGAGATGACAGTAAATGAGCATACCTTGATTTGTACCATGTTATCTGGACAATACTTCTCTACCTCAGCATCAAATAACAGCACGGGATTACAACTGTTCCTATAGAGAGAAAATATACAATCACTTGTTATAATTCTGTGTGATGCTGAAAAACACAATAACATAAAAGAAACCTAATTTAAATTACCATTTCTGGAACGGTGCTTTAAACTCCAGACCCAGTAAATGGCCTGATACTGAAGTCATTGTTACCGTCACATTCTGCAGCAGGACGGAGACAAAACCAAACAAACAGCATAAACACACAAAAGAACAGACGTACAGGTCCATGTGTGCATCTCTAATTATTTCACTGTATTTGCTTACCTGACCAAAGAGATGATATTCACACTCATAGATTTTATTAAACTTTGACATCCCTTCCCTCTGAAATGGAAAAGAAAACAATCAATACTTGAGCAACCAAATAAACCAGAGGAACAGGGGGTAATATACAATCATTGATTCAGAGTTTTTGTTATAATTATATCTATATAATCATGGGTCTGAGGATAGGTGTTGCTAGATGATATGATGAATAGATCATGTAAACACTGTGACACAATACAAATCTGTCTATTGTGAGAGATCTTGACGTAGTGTTTATACTATAGTAGCTGTTCGACTAACAACTCTGGTTGTTGAGCAGGACTGTTTTAAGGCAATATTGAATTTTATATGATTTCTGAATTAATGTGATGAAACAGATTTTTAGCCCACAACTTATAATTATTTTCATTTTTGATTAATCTGTTGGTTATGTTGATTGATTAGTGTATAAGATAATGGAGAGACATGTTCATATTCTTTTCTCATTTACAAAAACAGTAAACAGAAAAGCATTTGAGAAAGTTGAAACAGAAACTATTTGGCATTTTAGCCCATTTATTTTGTGTCCATCGACTAATCGTTTCACCATCACACTGATTAATAACTGTGTTGGAGGTGTTTGTACTGCTGGTGAAGAGATGTGACTGACCCTCCTGGCCCTGCCGCCGGACATGATCTCTGAGATCCCTTTGGCTGCATCGTTTTTCTCAGCTACGCAGAGAACCCGCTTGATCTGAGCCCGGCTCCGGATCATGTCTGCCTGCTGCGGTGGCGTGTCTGGACACCGGCCACTCTGCGCCGTACAGAGACACCTCCGCTGGACCCAGAGCCGCTGTAGTCCCGGTCGAAGCAAGGATCTCCCGAGAAGGTGCACTAGTAGCATGCCTGGCCGCTCTCACATGAAGCAGCCGGTCCTCCGGGCAGCCCCACTGTTGCTGTTAGCATGCTAGCTGAGTCAGCCGACTAAAGCCATGTCTTCCGTTCCCAGAAACGTGTAACAGGAGCTAAAAACTACCCAGCGGCAGCCTAGCTCCACTCCGGATAAAAAATAATTGGAGGAAATGTACGTTATCCCACGAAAAAACACTTATTAAAAACTTTGTAAGTAGCAGCATCGACCTCTACAATGCTACCGCTAACTATTTACAAATGCCGCGCTCGTCTGTCAAAAATTGCCGTATTCAAGGTCGTAATACTGTCGTAAAATCCTGGAACCACCAAAAGACGTTTATAAAAATTGTAAATAAGTGGGTTCAAATTTAATATTGCCTAAATGTGAAGCACATGTAGTATTATTAATCATATTTTTTTCACAATGGTAATAATAATGTAAATAATAAAATTATGTCATATCACGGTTAATGAGAAATCCACCCTAAATCAGAAAATTTTCATTTTGCCATGTCAGTATCTACAAACCACAACTGCTGCTGCCACTGAGGACATGGGGGTCATTTAAACTTTAATCTAAACTTTAAATTTGACTACTACTAAAACTACTACTATGATTCAGTATTACTCCACCAAAACTGTATTGCTGGCAGCATGTAGAGAGAACTGCATGTACCTTTATGTCAGGAAATAAAACATGTTATGTTTTATTTTATAGAGCCATAATAATTACCTAATAGTTTTGTTGGAAGTTTCCTGCAGAGAAATAAAGCATGCAACCTGCTAAGTACTAAGAAAATATAGGCGAAATAGATGCAATGTTCCTCGACAGGTCTTTTAGCTAGAGATTGTTGACTATACAAACTGTTAAAGTAAATGCAAATGCTCCATTTGAATAATAATAATATAATGATACAATTTATTCGTGGATTGCAGATATTAAAAAATTCCAACATGGTTCCTATATGTTAAAAAAAAAAAAAAACCCAAGAAATGCAACATAAAAACAAAACAATAAAACCCTGAAATCCAAAAAAAGCAATAACACAATAACAATAATTTTAATAATAGAAAGTAATGAGTGAGAATACAAATAATAAAAAATTCATGACTCATCACCTTATTAGTATTTCTAAAATCCTGGCTATTATCCTGCTGCAAACACAGACAAATGTTAAACTGACAATGAATTGCATAAATGTGTACAAATCTTTTTAATAATCACCATAATCACATCCAATCATTGCAGAAAGAAATATGCGGAAATTCAGTTTTAGGGTGGATTTTCTCCAGATGGGAGGTGGGTAGGTCACCTGACAAGACTACAACCAGCTGGGTAAACATGGCGTCGGTCTCTGGACGTGAAAATTATATGTAGCGCGTCTGTCTGTTAACGGTGTTTCTGTCGCATCAGCGTCCCGCGTCTTAGCCGTGAACAGAGTAACGTGATGGACACGACGCGCGAAAACAGGCAGGTTAGAGAAGCGCCTCAGTGATGATGCTTTATATTTTATGTCTCTCTGCACAGCATGAAGGGTCTGATGCCTGCCCGGACCCTGTGATGGGCGCAAAATAATTGCTTTTGTTAACAGAGACACTGACTGTTTTCTGCTGTTTTTTTTAAATCTACTTTTATTCAATCTGACAAATTGCAACGACTGGCTCCTGCAGGGCCACAGCTGAATTTTGGGCCGAATCTGCTCTGAGACCTTTTTTAAATTGTATAAACCAGCTGTATTATTATTATTATCATTATCATTATTATTATTATTATTACTACTATCATTTTTGTGGACCCCTCTCTATCGCTGGACCCCTAGATGTGACAGCTCCTTTAACCTCACTAACAAAAGCTCTGCCTGGACAACGTGAGAGCACAATGATCAATCTGACTGCACTTCATGTGGCTGCGCTCTGACAGCTGGTTTATGACTGTTAGTGGTGCTGCGCTGTGTCTTGTGTTTCTCATGCCTCTCTCAACAACACCACTATGATAGGCTCACCTGACGTGGTGGCTTTCACTAAAGAGGATGAGTACGGCCAGACAAGTCCGGACCCCTGGGCTCTCCCCGAGGAGTTCTCCATCCCTCTCCATCCTCTGGCCGACTCCAACCCCTGGGCCAAAACCTCCTACGCCAAGTTCACCAAAGACTTCATCCTCATCTCTGAGTTCTCCGAGCAGGTGGGCCCTCAGCCGCTCCTCACCATCCCAGATGACCCCAAAGTCTGTGGCACCTTCGATCTCAACTACTTCTCCCTGCGCATCATGTCGGTGGACTACCAGGCCTCCTTCGTTGGGCACCCGCCTGGCAGCGGCTACCCGAGACTCAGCTTTGTGGAGGACTCGAGGGTGGTGCTGGGCGACTCGAAGGAGGGGGCGTTCGCCTACGTCCATCACCTTACTCTGTATGACCTGGAGGCGAGGGGCTTTGTGCGACCGTTCTGCATGGCGTACGTTTCAGCAGATGAGAGGAAAATCATGCTGCAGTTTCAGGAGCTGTCCCTCCGCTTCTCTCAGGCCTCTGAGTGTCTGAAGGCCGGGAACAGGAGAGCCTTCGCCAAGGAACTCCAGAGGAAGCTGCGGGACCTTGAGTAAGACCTTCAGTACAACCTTTAAATTACTATCCCACTTAGGGGTCACATTCAAATCTTGATATTTCAATATTAGTGCCCTCAGCTCCTTTCTTCAATCATAGGTAAATAGGATAAATTGTAACAGCATGGCCGTCTTAATCAGCTCGGGGGCTGAAAATTTTTATTTTCCTTTTCTCCTACAAATAACAGGTTTGTAATATGAATAAATTAAATACCAAAATACAAAAGTTTGCACGTTTGCGTGTTAGCATGGGAACATATGCTAATTAGCACAAAACACAAAGTATATCTGAGGTCAGTTATTTGGCCATGAACCAAAAAATGTTGAGGTTTCGACCTGATGATGATGGTGCCCAGTGCAAAGTCAGAGGATCAATAAAGTTATAGAATTCATCAACATTTCACTCAAAATCACAAAAAGTGATGGTGGCACTAGAGGAAAGGTCAGGGGTCACCAAAGTCTATGTCTATGAATGTCGTACAACATTTCAATTCATCCAATAGTTGTTCAGATATTTCAGTTTGAACCGAAGTATTGAACTGACCAACCAACAGACTTACATTTACATCCCTACGAGCTGCTAGAGCGGCTAAATAAGTAACCGACTAGTGAAACCCGCCCCCATAATCTACCATGTGTGACGTCCTAGCTGCAGGTTTTCAGTTTCTTGTGTTGTCGTTTCTCAGGTACTTTTGACGAAAAAGTCTTATTTCATCAAACTGCTTTCCCTTTCCATGTATGAACACATGTGCACGAGTGACGCCTGTTTTCACCCCCCAGGTACACTCACTCCGTGCTGCAGAGGGAGGAGGGCCTGCAGAGAGAGGCGGGGCCTCAGTGCATGTACTCCGCTCACGCTGTGGAGAAAGCCAATGAGCTTGCTAACGTGGAAAAGAGCATCTACGAACACAGAGACCTGCTGAGACAGATCAGCTCCTATCATTGCCGCCCGCGCCGGGATCCTCACGCTGTCACCTGCCAGAAGTGCATGACTGAGTGCTTGAGTGAGTGTGAGGCGCTGTTAGACAAATACGCCAAGCTCGCCAACCCCTTCAGTTACACCGACAAAGGGGGGAAAGGGGAGGAAGGTCAGGTTAACGTGGAAGGAGGTGAAGAGGAAGTGGAGGAGGACGTTAAACGCAGGCCGTCCTACACACCACAGCTGATCAAAGCCAAGTCTGCCAAGTGTTTCGACAAGCGCCTGAAGACCCTCCAGGAGCTGTGTGACCAGACTTTCTACGGGGCCACCGTGGAGCTCCTGAAGGAGACGGAGAGGAGTTTCCGGGGCGACCTGTGTTACCTTCACACACGCCGCCTTGACAAGACTCTGCGCAGGAGACAGAGAGTTACCAACTTCCTGTTTGAGGAGGATCTCGGTGATGATGATGAGGATGAAGGAGGAACGCTAAGACCGTTTTGTGCTGTGAACCACGCTGTAGACAACTATACACTCTTAAATCCACCTCCTATTGTGCTGGGACCAGAACCTCTAGAGCTGGACTCACTGGAGCCTCCAGATCCTTTAGACCCGGCCTCTGAGACCAGCCATACTCAGGAGAGTGAGCTTGGGCTCGGGGAGAGCCACCTGGAGTCCTCCCCCTCAGACCAGACTCTGGAGACCCAGGAGAGCTCAGAGGAGACCAAAGGAAGCTTTAGCAGCGATAAGAGCGGGATGGGTCCAGCACAGAAGCACGAAAGTCTTGCTAGTGTGAGGTCAGAACCTCCCGATCCTGATTCCGACTTAACCCTTGACCCCGACCACAACGCTGACCTGGAGAGGGAGAGCAGCAGTGAAGAGACCACTGCAGGGGAGGATGAGGGAGACCAGACGCCGGTGTCTCTGCTGGAAGTGGTGTCCGAGCTGGAGGCCAGCAGAGAGGACGACTGTGAGAGAGGAAGTGATGGGGCTTGTGAGATGGAGTCCGACTTGTTGGTTCCAATAGACACTGCGTGCTGTATGGCTCAAGAGGGTTTCCTGTATGAGGCGTCTGCCCCAGAGGCGGATCTTCATCTGGGCCAAAGCTCCCACCATCAGCCCTCTCATACGCTGGTTGTTAACCAGGAGCCACAGGCCCTCCTTCCACTCCAGGACGACTACACTGTGGGTTCTCCGTGCTCTGAAAGCCCTGCAGCTGGGCTGGAGCTGCCCGTGGGGCTCCTGGGAGATGCAGTTTCCCATACCTCAGTGGAGGACGGGTCAGACTGCACCATGAGTGCTTCTACAGGGTCCGATCGGGCTGCCTCGCCTCTGGGCTATGGGGGGGTGGTGACCCTGCGTCAGAGGAAGAAGGCTGGACAAGGAGCCCTGAGGTTTGTGCGACAGTACCCCTTTGCCATACAAGCTCTGTGGTGCCTGCTGAGTGGCAGAACCCTGGTGGTTCTCGGGGCAGATGAGGGGAGAGTCCGTCGGTTGGTTGCTGCTCTGGCCCTCTTTGTGCCTGGCCCTGGGAAGTGTGGAGAGAGGGTTCAAGCCTGGTTGTCCTGCCCTTTCACCCTTACTGACCTGCAGAGGTGGAAACTCGTCGGATTGCAAAGGTATGTCCAATTTGCATCTATATATTTTAGGTATTAAACCAACACTCAACACAAAGCTTTCAGGCTCACAGATCAGTCTACGTCATCGTCAAGTACGACCACCTTACTCCGTTGTTACTCATCTGGTCTGACTCATTCCTCGATGACTCACATAACTATTCAGCTATTAAACCTCCAGCCTCACGTCTGTGTTGCAGTATTTTACATTTAGAGACGACGCCTTCACTTCATAACCTTGTGTGCGTTTTGTTTGTTGAGACATTTGGAGGCGCTGAGATAGACAGGAGGAGCTGTGTAACTAATATCACTGCAGAGGAACACTGATTTTCTGAACATAATCCGAGCCATAAAACAATTACTAAACATACAGGGTTTTGAACAGTGTCCAATGTGCAGAATCATTAACTCGCATGTATTGGTACAACAGAACTGCAAATATGGCTAAAAGTGCTTAGGGGTGATTTTAAATGTGTAAACCCAGTGGTTCTTTATTGGGAAAATAATGATTTCATAACATGAACATGCATAACTTACAAATGTAATGATGCTGCTGTACAGTGGAAATATTAATCACCTGTATCGAGACATGCAGCATGCTGCTAGATGCTAAAACTTGAGATTAGAGTTCATGGTAAATGGAAATAAACGTTCTTCTTTTTCTTCATTATTACCAAAGGTTTAAAATATTATTTAAATTCATCATGTTTAGCCTCAGGATTTTATTAGCAAGTGGAAGACAAGTCATTTCTAACAAGACTGAGAGTCAACAGCTAGCGGCTCTGTCAGGCTGTGCTTTGAGCTAAATGCTAACATGCTGATGTTTACTAGGGTCGCTGTCTAAGTTTAGCAAGGTGCGGCATGCTAATATTTGCTAATTAGTGATTAGCTGAGGCTGATGGGAATAAATTAGCGTTGGACAAGGAGTTGAAAACTGAACTACAAAGACTTAATGTTGGCGCTAGAGGAAAAGCCAGTGGAAGTCAGAGTCCATCCTCTGGGAACCATGAATGTCTGTGTCAAATGTCTTTCCAGTGCATCCATCAGTCGTGGAGATACTTCAGTCTGGAACAAAGTGGTTCACCAACCGACCAGCTGACAATAATTATAATAAAGAATAATAAATGATAATAATATTATTATGATAAAAGGAGCAGGTTAAAAAAAAAAAAGAAAAAAAAAAAGAAATCTATAGCTACATAAAGCATGTGTGAAAGTTTGTCTTTACCAACTAACAAATATGGCGTCTGTCTCTCCGTCTCTCAGAGTGGCGTCCCCTGTGGGTTCTAGCATGCTTTACTCGCTGTCCCGCTACAGTCGCTACATCTCCATCCTTGACGCCGACCAGAAGACTTTGCGCTGCCCGCCGTATCGTGGCCAACTGCTTGCCAACGTAGCCGACCACCGCACCTACATCCGCCGTGGCTCCACCTACTTCCTTCACGTACAGAGCACCCTGTGTCGCATGGCAGCCAAGGCCTTCCTGTTCACCTTCACCCACCACCTCCACCTGCCGGTCAGCTCCGCGGAGGGGCCAGAGGTGGTGGAGGGCCGACGCCGCTGCTTCCTGCAGGAGCAGCTGGGGCTGGGCGAGGAGGACAGCCAGATACTGCTCTACCTCAGCCAGCTCGTCACTCAGCAGTACCTACAGCCTGCCACCGGGGGCAGCGCAGCCGCAGCACCTTGTTTTAGTTTTAACTACACCACCAGCGTTTTATACAAAATCTAATATTCTTCTGCGAGGAGGATTCTCACACACATTTTTTAGCAGAAATCATCTGTGACCCTTTGGTTTTTAAAGGACCAAAGGTGATCGTAATAAGGTCTAAAGTATTTTTAGTTTCAGGACAATCTCTGCTTTGGTTATTGTTTTTTTTCTTTTCTGCCATGCTGTCTTTTCCTCTGCTCTCACTATCTCCTCAGTGTGCAGGGAAAAGGAGAAGGAGCGAGTTGTGAATGTCAGCGAGTGGTTTACTTGCAGGTGTTTGGCCCGGAGCATGTTGACACTCACAAACACACACACACCGCAGAGCAGATGAAGGTCGCCTCTGCTTATTGTCCTTTGAGCCATTTGTGTGTTTTCCTCCTCCGTGGGAAAAAAAAAATGTTACTTGCACGGGCTTGTTTGAGGTCAGTCCCCCCCCCCCATTACACACACACACACACACACACACATATATATATATATTTACATGTATTTAATCTCACAAAACTCGCTCCAACATGGCTGTCTGTGTGTCGTAAGTGCTGGTCCAAACTCAGCCAGCTCACTGACGGGTTAAATCACAGCTGAGTGTTAAACACCCACCAATCACTGAGCAGTTGTTGTCAGCTATGATATCATCTCAGCTATATGTAAACATGTTTTTCTTTTTCAAGATTACTGTGACATTTTCTGCTTTGTGGTGAACAGACGTCTCTGTGACTCTGACCATGAAACCATGCAGGTTTGTTGCGGCTGGTTTTGTGACACGCCTCTCTCTTTGGAAAAACACACATTTAACACACATTCCTGCAGTGACGGAGATAGAGTCACAGTGTTGGATTGTTAACGGAGTAGCATGGGGCATGGAGTAAACATTCCCAGAGGCTGCTTTTTTTTTTTTTTTTTCGGGGGGATGTGGTGCATGAGGAAGTGTGTTCGCTGTGAGAATTAGATCCAGTCGGCTCCACGTGATGTTGCATGTCCAGAGAAATAAACGTCATCACGCGCATACTGTCAATATTCACTGCTGGCGAGCATTTTCATGGATATTACTCACACGGTCAGGAACATTTTAAAAGCTACTTAACCTAAATGTATTGAATTTCACTGTTGTCTTAAATTTGTGCGAGAGTGTTGTGGTGTCAGCATGAGACTGTCTTGTGCCAGGGTGAATCACCGTATTGATAATATTTCTGTTTTTGTTATATTTGAAGGAACCGACTCGGACGAGATGCTGAACAGTTTGAGGGGATGTTGCTGGGATGGTGATGTTGTGTTTGTGTAGATTTTATCATGGGGAAAATGAACTTTGTGCGCCATCGAAAGCAAAACTCTGACGTTTGACACTTTATTTAGGACACTAGTTGCCTATCCTCTTGTTTTTGTTTTTTTCTTTGTTTCCTCAGCGATCCTTGCTGAATGTGTGCTCTGAACAAAACTCAACTGTTAAATATATTTATTGCTTTCGGACAAAATTTGGATTCTCATGATTACGCCGAGTACGCCCAGATTTTCTGTTCGGAGTATACTGAAGTTTTTTGCAAAAGGTCCGTCACATCGGCCAGTGAAATCACAGCGAAGTCGTGTCTCTGATAGTATGTTAGATTTTCCAGCTCCGGGTTTCTGTGGTGTCGGTGATGGAGCTGGAGTTCTGTGTCTAGGTTGGTAACTGTACTTGTGACTGCATGGACAGAGTTTTAATGTTTAAGGTCAAACAGTGTGGGATCACGGCGGCTGCCCTTCCTGCTACGAACACATGTTATTTTGTTTTTTAACTACTAACAACAACCTCACATTTTTTTAATTCCACCTATTTTATTATTATTGTTATTATTATTATTATTATAATGATTTCAGTTCAGTGCAGTTTGAACTCAGTGATTTCCTTTGTTGCATGACGTCTTTTTTATTTTTTTATTTTCTGAATAACAAGTTTACAACTACAACCCTTTTTTTTTTCTTTTTTTTTTTTAGCTTTTGTCCCTCTAATGCAAAAAGGTGAATGTAATCCAAATAAGCCATACCACAGTGTGCTTAACATGTCGTCACTCAGTGTCCTTATGTTGCCATATCATGTCTACCTTTTGTATCTCATCACGAGGGGGGCGTTGTGTGAACTCCAGCCCTGTACGATGGCGGCGGCGTTGCCAGTTATTTTAATAACGCACGTTGAGAATGTCTTGATGCTTTCATGTAATGTTGATGATAATTCATTTACTCCATTAAATTATTTGAATCCACTTCATTTATTGCGTCAGTGCCTGGTTCACGCTGGAGGGAGGGGGCATGTTGACGGTGCTGTGAGATACTGGTGGGACAGACAAACACAACCTACAGATCATCATTAGACATCTCATCCTCAACAGACTCACTCTGTGTGACTTGCTTCAGCGATGACGGATGTGCAAACATTTGAGGTGTCATGAATAAATAAATGCTCATCTGTGAACACATCTAACCGCCCTGCAGGAGCAGCAGAGGGAAGAAAAGGTGGCGAGTTAAAGAAGAAGTCCCAGAAAATGAATGTTTTAAGAACACAGTTGAACAATCCAGCCAGGAACTGAGTGAGTGGGCAGCTCGGTGTGTGTTACTCATGGTGTAAACAGGTGTGTTTTTTTTTTTATTCCACAGGTGCTAGTTGTTTAGCTTCTCTGAAATCCCACAGAGCTGCACAGGAGGAGCGTCCGCTGTCTTATCAGCTGCTCCGAGGATTAGTATCGATTACACTCGTACAGTGACAGCGGCAGATTTAGTGACGTAAAGATTTGCAAGTGTTTACGCCTCAGGTGAGATGAAACAATATCACAAATTGAATCACAAATGCAACTCCCCACGGAGAGAACTGTGTTTCATGGAAGAAAAAAAAAACTCATTCTATACAACTGGAATCATAGTTTTCTTCCTTTATTTCTTTATTTATTGCATAATGGAAAGGAAGTAACAACACAAAACTGAGCCTACCTAGCTCCAACTACAAGCATGCAAAGAGAAAAATTATATCTGAAAATAAGTATTAATTGCAGAATATGAAGAAACAAGAAAAAAGGAGAAAGAAGATACTTCTTCCTTTCTTGAGTAGCTGCAGGGGTTTTGCTCGGCTCTACAGGCCCTAATAGATATGAACTAATTACACAAATCACTGAGGCAGATGCTTTGATCAGTGTCATGATGTGTGTCGTGAGCAGTGGTGGATGAAGTCTTCAGATCCCTAAAGCAAATACTTGTAGCACAATGTAGAAGTATTTTATTACAAGTTAAAGTCCCGCATTCAAAATCCTACGTGATTAAAAATCTAAAAGTATTGTTAGAAAAGTTCTTAAAAGTCTAATTCTGCAGACCTGGCATTTTATTATATTATACTCCATCAATAGATTGTTAATACTGTAAGTAGCATTTTACTGTTGTAACTGGTCGCAGTGGAGCTCCTGTTGTTTTAACTACTTTATAGACTGTTAAGTAGTTTAGTCCTGTGGTTCCCAACTTAGAGGCTGGGCCCCTCCAAAGGGTCACAAGATAAACCAGAGGGGTCATGAGATGATGATGTAGTTGGAAAGAAGAAAAAAAAACAACTTCTGCAACACAAATTTATGTTGTTTTTTGTGACGACCCTGTAATCTTTGTTTTTGTAAAATAAAAATTTGGGTCTTGAACTGTTTTTCAGATGAAACCATAATGGGAAGTTTAAAGAGGAACTTGTCTAAACAGCTGTTTTTATCTGGAGTCACAAGCCAAAAATGTTGGGAACCATTAGTTTATAAGATAAAGTCACTAGTAACTTCAGCTGTAACATAAATGTTCTGGGGCAAAATAAACAACATTCCCTCTAAAATATAGTGAAGCAAAAAGCAGCTTCAAAGGAAACATTTGGGTAAAGTACAAGTACCTCAAACATGTGTTTAAGTTTTCCACCACATGAAAAATGTTAATGAGATTAATAAAAGAAAACTGAACTACAGAAGAAAACCATGTTATTGAGACAATGAATGACTGAAAGTGGAAGTATTAACCCTGATTTTCCTGAAATTCAAAGATGTTTGCTCTTCGGTTTTAGTTAGAACATACTCCGAGGTCTTCAACCTTCAAGTGATTCATGTTTCTTCAAGAAGCAAACAGGTTTGTTGTAGCTGATTTATTGGCTGTCGGTCTACAGCCAATAATGCAGCTTCTTTAATTCATAAGAGATGAAGAAAGATAAAACCAGGAGAGCAAGTAAACCAGAATCATTTTATTTAAAATTATACTACAATAACAATTTCGAAGAAAAAGTTTTCAGGTTTAAAACAATGACATTTCAAACGAAAATCATTTCCCTCCCAGCCCCCTTTAAATGAAATGAAACACGTCAGAACTGAAAATGACCTTCACAGTGAGTGTGACAAGCTGGAATGACAGGCCTGATCCAGGAACAGCCAACCTCAGGCTCCTACGTTGAGCTCTAGGAGATGAGGGCTTTAGTTAGGTATATATAAAAAACACAACACACAGAAAAACAAATGTACTTAAGACAATATGGCCCCTCTCAGTGTATTCCCCATGGCTCCCCTATGTTTAAAAGCAGAAGAGTAACTAATACTGATCCCCTATCAGGGCAGCTCAGGATGGTGGTGAGGATGTCACGAGAAATCGTTTCTAATGCAGGTGACTGAAATAAAGACAGTGTTGCTTGAGGGTCATGAGGGTGCACAGATGGAGGCTGGGTGAGCCCCGCTGTCCAACAGGAAACAGACCGGATGTCCAAAACCTGCACTTAGCCAGAACAACCTCTACATCCACAGTGGGTGCATTCAATGATCCTTCCCTGCAGAGAGGAAAACAAAAAACAAAAACAGCAGCTGATTGGTTACAGAGTTTACAGCCACATTGTCTAAGTTTGCTGAGTTAGGCATCTAGAAAATCACCATGTGGTAAAGTAACTGTCACTTTTTGTCTGACCTTGTCTTATTGCCTCTCGAAGTATCCTCTTTCTTTAAATATAACAACAAAAACAAGTAGCGCTCACTGAGTTTTTTTACTTACGCTACACCTCACAAAAACAGGTAATATGCAGGAAAGTCAGTGACCTTTCACAGTTCTTATTGGGTTCTCTACCCAGACCACTATGACATGTTGAACTCCACCAAAGACAGATGTATTAAGATATACTGAAGGATCATTGTGGACCACCACTGTTAAAAAGCAGGTAGAAAAGTGGATTTCCACTTCAAAGTAGCATAAGAGTCTTCTGTGCATTGGAAGGAGGCAAAGGAGTGTCTTCAGTGCAAACAGATAGAACCAGGTTGTAATCCACCTCTATTGTTTTGTAGTTAACCAAAGTAAAAACCAGTGAAAATTTCACTGTTAATATTCAACCAGACATACTGCCCCAGTGTACTTTACATCTATCAGAGTGGCGACAGCGATGAACAAAATGTGTTCAGTCTTGTCTTGAAGAAATGTTGATGAT